CTTCGGCATGAATGGGCCGGCTCGACCGAAGTGATACCACGGCCTCACGGAAAACCGACGTGAAACAACGCTTGCGCTTGCACGACGACGACGAATCGTGTCAGTAAGGTTACCGGAGGCCCAATTACCCCCCTCCCTTCCCCAATCCCCAACAATCCTTAAATTTCTAATCTCAAAAGGCCTGCAACGCAGGTGTTCCAGGTGTTCATGGGCGACGCCGATTACTTACCATCAGGTGCTCTATCCGGTACTTTACAGGCTTATAAAGAAAGTCCAATTCAAACTATGTAGATTCCGATTAAGTAAAAGAAGTTGAATATGTGATCTGATAACTATATTTTTAGGACGAATAAAAAAACAAAAATGTCGACAAAAAGTAATTTAGGATAGGGACAGGATCAGAGGGAGAAATCAATGAAGAATACATATGTAACCAAACAAAATTGTCGCCGATGTAGTCTATCATGCATTTGACTATCATCATTCCAGATGTGGATGAATGTCAGCGTGCAGGTGGTCTGGACGGCCACCACTGTCACTCCAACACGCGGTGCGTCAACGTGGTCGGGGGCTACGTGTGCCAGTGCCTGCCAGGGTACACCAGGAGAGACAAGTTCAATTGTGTAGAAGTAAGATTGCAGCTGTATAATAGTAATGCCTTTTAGTAGCCCAAGAACCCAGCCTTTTAGCTTATGACGACGTGTCGGAAGCGGCTCGTTATGATGTGTTTGCGAAGGGGCTTAATTAATTTAATATTTTTTTCCATTTTAAGCTATATTTCAACGTAATTTTCGATACTTCCAGGTAGACGAGTGCGCGGGTGAGACACACGGCTGCCACGCGCACGCGGTGTGCACCAACACGCCCGGCTCGTACACGTGCCGGTGTCGGGAGGGTTACACCGGAGACGGCTACGAGTGCTCGCGTATGTACACACAGAAATCTGTGGTTATTAACATCAGCTTAACAGCTTACTTCTTGTGTAGATCAAAAAGGAATTCTCTTGATAGCACTACGCGAGCGAACTGCTGAACCGATTTCGTGATATTGTGTTATTGCCAAGTTTGCCTTCTGATTTTTATTATAAGTGTTCTTTCCAGCAATCTGCACGGGAGGGTGCCTTAACGGTGGGGTGTGCGTGTCGCGCGAGAAGTGTGCGTGTGCGCACGGGTTCGGCGGCACGCGGTGCGAGCGCGACGTGGACGAGTGCCGCGCGGCGCGGGCGCCGGCCGCCGCGCCCGCCTGCCCGCGCAACGCGCTCTGTGTCAACACGCCCGGCAGCTACTACTGCGTGTGCGCGCAGGGATATACACGGGACGCTGTGTTGGATACATGTCAAGGTATAACTTGATAAGTCACATTAGGAGTGGTGGCAAGCTTTATAACAACAATACCAAACACTGACGTTTTGATCTGAAAAATAATCTCTTGATGGGTTTGGCCGTATGGATAGCCCTTATATATTCAGTAGAAGACAAGTTATAACTAAAACTTGCAATAATCACTGCAAAATCCATGTTAAGCTTATGTAGGTACTATATTGTTTTGCAGATGTAGACGAGTGCGCCGAAGGGTTCCACACGTGTCACCCGAGTGCGCGCTGCGTCAACACCGACGGGGGCTTCAGATGTGAATGTGATTCTGAAGAACATTGTGAATTAAGTAAGTATACTAGTGACTGGCCAAAGAGAGCGGGATCTGCGCGCAGAATAACGTTTTGGGCTATTTTAAATATGATATGTTTCTAAAGGTACAAAGGCACCTCAAGACAAAGATCAAATTGGGATCACGTCTGCACAAAACCTTAATAATCTCTTAGATAGCTTCTACACTGCATAATTTGTCAAATGAATTGTTTTAGAGCAAAACACATGATGAAATTGATTTTCAGGTTGTTCGTGGCAAGGTCGCATGATGGCGGATGGTGCTTCGTGGTCAGAAGCTGGTGGGTGCCGTGCTTGCGCGTGCGCCGCCGGCGTGGCCTCCTGTCGCCTAGCTGCCTGCGCCTGCGACTTACTCGATAACCATACCACTGCGGTAATTAACCTAATACCATCAACTGTATTCTGCTGTCTACAAAATAGAACAATATAAACACTGCTGGAGTATTCTGCCCATGAAGTTCTCAACTTTCGCTTTAGTACAGCACTATCTAAAAAATTGATATCGATGGATATTAATCGACGTTTGTTTGTATCAGTTGCAGAGCACGTCGCTGCCGAGTCTGGCGCCGGCGTCGTGCTGCCCGCACTGCGAGGCTCGCTTCCACTGCCGCCACCAGGAGATGCACCACGTCACCTTCCGCAGCGGCGAGCGCTGGCTCTATCAGTGCCAGATCTGCGAGTGTCTTGTGAGTATTATGTCTATGTCTGCGAGACCATAACCGAAAATAGAGCAAATTTCATGAGACAGAATTGTCGGATTTGTCCTTGTGGCATGTTGGTGAAAGTTGTCTGTTTGCTTGCAGCTTGGTGAAGTGGATTGTTGGGAGCCTGAGTGCGGAGAGTCGGGCGCAGGGTGCTGCGCCGGGGGCCCGGCGGGCGCGGTGGGCCCCGGGGGCGCGGGGCCCCCGCGCCGGCTGGAGCTGGGCGGCTGTGCGCCCCCGCACTGCGCCGTCTGCACGGTGCGTCACACGCTCACCTGATGCATCGCACACACCCGCTCTCGGGGGTTTGGCAGGATACGCTCGCAGTCGCAGTTCATTTCCTCATGCATATTCAATGTCTCCACAGTAACCTCAACCATATCATTACTAACACTAGCCGTTTCGGAGCTATTGTCTGAATAGAATTGTCGTAGTTCCTAATGTCCCTCAAATGTAGGATATTAATTATGTTTACAATTAAGTACGACTGTGATAGTAGGATGCGTGCCAGGCTCGCGGGCGGGTGTGGTTGTGCTCAGTGCTTGAACTAATCGCTTGGTAAGGCCCGAGGCCGGCGCGGTGTCGGAGTGTGATCGCGTTATGCTTGTTGCAGGGCGGCCAGTGTGCTACTTTGGTGAGCAATCTCGCGTGTTGTGTGCATCGGTAACCATCCCCACTCTTCTTATTCATTCATACATTTGCTCTATTAACACGTGTTTTTAGCTTGAGTCCTTGATTTAATCACATCGATCTTTAATACAGGCAATACCTGAATATCAGTATTATATTGTAGTTCACAACTTTATAAATACAAAATTGCTTATTGCTTGTATACAGTTTACGCTGCTGCAAGATTGGATAGTAACATAGCTATCGAAACTCGAAAGGCATCTTTCTGTTTACTTTTCTTTTGTTTAATTTATCAAGTTTATTAGAACCAACGTAGTCTTTTACTTAGTTATCATTTGTAGTTTGTACCTATCTTGTACAGTATTGTTCTACTCGACCACCCTAGCTACCAGCCAGGGTTGTCAAGTAGTAAATGTATTAAATTGAGGACATTCATTCTAAAATCATTTTATGTTGCATGTTTTATCATTTACTCATCAAGTACATTTCGTAAACTGTCGCTTCTATATTATTTGACCGTCTCAACTGGAATGTGTCACGCTGTCAATGGCCTGACCTTTTAAGTTTCGCATTCATTATCTTTTATCTCGAGTTTCCGTTGTTTTTCACGTTCCCCCACTAGTTAGAAGTTAGATAGAATAAGTGTGAATGCAAGCGGAGTGGTCGGTACCTGTGTGTGTAGCGCGCGGCGGACGGCGCTGGCGCTGGCGCTGGTGGCGCTGTGGTGGGGGCGGGGGCGCGCGGGCGCGGCGCACCGCAAGCACCGCGGCGCGCGGCGCTAGAGCCGCCGTGAGCTGCGGCGCGGACGACGCGACGCCGTCTCTATTTATTCTAGATAGATCTAATGTTACCGCGGCGAGCGGCCGCGCGCCCGAGCCGCCCCTTCCGATTCTAAATTTAAACTTAAGTCGATCGCTTACCATTATTATCCTAGAGTTAGCTGTTGCGGACGGCGCGGGGCGCGGGGGCGGGGCGCGGGGGCGCGGGGCGCGCGCGGGCGCCTGACTGTATAGTGTACGTGTGTACGTGTGTATAGTGTAGAATGTTACGAGTACCGCGCGCCTGCGCGCTCGCGCCCTGTTGTACCAAATTTTTCATAATATATTATAGTTTTTGTTTGACTTTATATAGAGATCGTTTTTCTTGTATAATTTGAAAGTAACCAAAAATAGGTACCAAATATAGAAAAAGATATGATTGTTTTTGATTTTCATAAAGCATTTTAATGCTTGCATGTTGTATTGTGTTCAAAAAATTACGATTAAAAAGATATCCTCGATATACACTCTTTTTATTTCCCTCTGTAACTCCTTTGTCGGAAAAAAACTAGTATAGTCAACTAAGACATTTATTTTACACATTTACATACTTTTATACAATTTAAGTGACATTTGGAAGTAATAATTTAATAACAGTTCTAAACTTTACCTAAAGGTGTTTCCAATAGAACTTATGTTAACTTAATCTGCAAACTGGCAACACTGTACTGGCCACTGATGTCTTTGTGTAAAGTTATGTCGACGGTGACTTCATGCACACCATGGAGCTACTCGGCGACTATGTATGTTGTAGATAACGCCGAAGACACACTTTTTCACAATGTCTGAGTACCCCTCTGATAGTTCAAGTGATGGATAATTTGATGTACTAACAGCAACTTAATCTGACATTGTCAAATTACCACACAGGTACTTAACTGAGACCGAAAGAAAGTTTTCCTTTTAGACACATAACTATTTAGGTTTAGTATTCTGTATCTGTTGGAGAACAGTTTATATAAACCATGCCTCTGAATGCAGTTTTTTAATGCATATTAAAACCCTTAATCGAAATTTGAGGCAAAAAAAACAAAGCAGTCCTCCGGATTTGAATTCACCACCAGTGTCGCTAGTGTAGCTTAAAACTTCGTGACTAAAAGCTGCACCGACGCCATCTAGCGATCGCAGAAACTTCAGACGTACTTTATAGTGTAGGTAGGGTTGGTGTGCGCGAGGAGTCAGTGTGTTTAGATGGGGTTGTCGTGCGGCATGGCGGCGGGCGAGGTGAGCGCCACGAGCGGCGCCGGGCCGAGCGGCGCGTGCAGCGGGCCGTGCGGCGGGTGCGCCAGGCACGCGATGCGCAGCGCCGGCGGGGGCTTGTACGACCGCGACACCTCGCCGCGCTCCACCACGCCCGTCACCATGGTGTACGCGGCCGCGAATAGGGTTACCGCCTGTAAAGTTAAAAGGTTTAAGTTAACTCATCTAAAATGAGGGGTTAGTGCAGTAGATGGGTGCTGCACAATCTGTCAAGGGTTAGATGCACCAACTGAATAATCACACCACAGTAAACTCCTAAAGGTACCTACTGTTACACATGGTCTAAAATAGAATGTTAAAGGGCAAAGATCAAACGTCTGTCAACTCGCAAACATGTCTGTAATGAGCATGCTATATTGACCAACATTCCCAAGTGACAAACCTCAGCTCAATTGAAGCATATTTTCGTGATTGAAATTAGAATGTATAACAGTACCATAATACTTAAAATACGGAGACTTTAAAAAAATAAAATATACAATTCTTTTTAGCTGTCGGGAAAAAAGAGTATTATTACTGTTTGGACAAATGTCAAAAACAATTGACCGTTGGCGGATATGTACTCTGTAGTTTACTCCAGGAGACGTCCTAAATTTATTTGTGTGGTCTTCAGATCAAGGTTAAGCAAAAATAACATCTTGTTAGTTGGATTGAGTTCATTGTCGTACCATTGGATAGATGAATGGAAACAGACAGGAGTTGGTAATGTATGATTTAATAGTGCAATCGCTTACCATGACAACGACGATAGCGGAGGATAGAGCAGACAGTGAGTACGTGAAGTATCGGAGCTCGGCGAGCGCGGGCCGCAGGCAGCCAATACTGTACAGCGGCCCATCGCACGTATCGCCGCGCTGCCAAACAAAAATGAACTCTAATACCTTTACATAGCAAGTTCTTGCTCTTGATCAACATGGTCTTTGAACTGATCTTGATCTACTTGAACTAAACTCTAGTATATTCCTTTTTAAAAGGCCAGCAACACACCTGTAGCTCCTCTGGTGTTGCGGGTGTCCATAGGCGGCGCCGATAACCTACCACCAGGTGATTTGTATGGTGTTTTGCCTCCTATACCAGAAAAAAAGTAATTGCTACATAATTCATTCTTTCTCTTCGCCTTTTTTTCTTTAAAGTTATTATTATATGGAGTGACATTTATCAAGTCGTAATCAAGCAGACGGATCTCGTGATGGTAAGCAATCAGCTCCGCATACTAATCGATCACGGACATCTTCCCTCCACTACTTAGGGTGATTCTTGATTAGACCCGTTTTGAGGTTTCTGACGAGTGACATAGATATTTTTAAGTCAATCAGGACCAATAGACCTTAATGAGCTTCATTGTAGCTCAACAAAGTACTTGATTGTCATTTTATAGTTACCTTTCCGTTCCACACTCGTCCGCAGCAGGCAGGTGGCAGCGTGCGGCGGTGCTGGTACCAGTCGGAGAACGACTGCACGCCGCAACATCTCAGCTGGAAAGAGACCAAATTCTGATCAGTACTCAATAATAAACCATCAACGATATTCTATCCGACGACACGTAGAACTTAAGCTTTATTGCAATATAATCACCCCTCAATAACTGGAGAGAAGTAGGCCTCACATAAAATAAGTGCACTTCTTTCTACCTGCCCGCCCATCCCCTTTATAAGATTAATGCGTGATGTTTAAGTTATATTAAACAACAACAGAATAGCCTAGAGGCTATTCTAAGTCAAAGGCTTATATTTGTATTATAAGAGACTAATCAAACTTAGGTACTCAAATTAGGGATCTACACAGTGGCGAATAAAACCTATAGAGCGGCCTTACTAGGCACGTTCCTAGTTTGCCTTAGAGATAATACGGTTCTGGATCTACTACACTTTAACAAAACAACAATCATCATACTTTCTAATATAAAGAAACAAAGCAGTCAGTGCACTAAAATGATATCTGGTGATTATAACATCAGCCCAATTTTCCCCCTAGCTGCAACCCCCAAAAGGCCGGCAATGCACTTGCCTCCTCTGACGTTCTGTGTATCCATGGCCGGTACTGAGTGGTCTCACATCAACTGAACTGTTTTCTCCTTTATCCTATTCAAGAAAAAGTATCTAGAAATGGTACCTCAATCTGCATGGCGGCAAAGGAGCTCCTGACGGCGGGGTCGAAGGCGTCGATGGACATAGCTCGCAGCATGCTGTTGTTGATCATGGCCGGCTCCCGCAACGCACGCGACAGCCCTGAGATCGACGACAACCCCATGGACAGCATAATCATGGCCACGCTCACCAACGCCATCAACTGAGGTATAAATATGTTGTGGATACCTCATCATCATAATCAGCTCCATTGATTAACAAAGGCTTCAGAAAAAGAATTACTGCCTAGGACGAGTAATTCACACACTTGTATCTACACTACTAGCTGTTCCCCGCGACTTCGTCCGCATATAATAATGACTTCTGTCAAATTTTGGATTTTTTAATCGACTTCAAAAAAGGAGTAGGTTCTCAATTCGACCGCGTATATGTTTTTTTATGTTTGTTCGCCGATATATCCGTTATTTATGAATCGATTTTAGTAATTCGTTTTTTATTGGAAAGAAGATGGTCCCAGAATAAGGAAATCAGATTCTGATGATGGAAGACCAGGGAAACCGAGTGGAACTTTTAAAAATTATAGGGGCGATTAGTGCATTTGTTATTAATTTTTTCCTTAAGTCTTAAAAAGTACTACAATTTGACTGGCTGGAGTCTGGAGTTGATCTGAAGATGGAGCCGAGAGCCAGTCGAGGGAACTCCTCAACGGTTAACAGTAGCTACCTTGTGTTCGGGTTCGATTAATTTGTATTGATGAGGACTTTACACCTAGGTGGGGTGTAATTGTCAATAAGGGTCTCATGGTGAAGTAGTACGATAGTTGAGGGAACTCCTTAACGGTTAAAAGTAGCTATTTTGTGTTTGGGTTTGATTAATTTGTATTAATGAGAACTTTACACCTAGGTGGGGTTTAATTGTCAATAAGGGTCTGATGATGAAGTAGTATGATAGTTGAGGGTACTCCTCGGCGGTTACCAGTAGCTACCTTGTGTTTGGGTTTGATAATTAATTTGTATTGATGAGGACATTACACCTAGATGGGGACCATAAAAAAATTATTGGTCATACGCACTTAAAGCTTAGGTTAACATAGAGAAGCCTAAGATAATATGTAAAAGAAGATGATTAATCGAGGAAAATGTTTCTTAAACTTTATAAATTACCACACTAGACTCACCGTGGCAGTCAAAGACAAGGACTTGACGTGGTAGGGCACTACAGTTGAGAGCCAGCAGGTGGGCAGACACAGCAGCGCGCCCGCCAGGAACATGATGCTGGAGCTCAGCTCCACACCCAGGTCAGTCGTCCAGAAGTAGTATGACATACGCAGCAGACTCCATGCTACTGACCCGCCTAGGATCGCACCACCACTCTGTTTGTGGACACGGCACAAACATTATATACCTATGACTATTGTTTGATTGACTGTTGACTACATGTGGTTTCGAGAATAAAGGAGAACAACCAAAATAATAATATTAATCTGTAATCCCTTTTACCAACAGCGATTTTATTTTAGGGTGTATGTGTGTAAAGGTATGTACTTACCTACGATTCACTTCCTACAAGAGTTCTACAAGAAGTCCAGCAAGCCTGATAAAGGGAATGTATACATATTGATTCTCTTTGATTTCTCTTTGTATGTGTGTTAATGTAATTGGTGTAAAGTCGTGTTAACATCACAATAATCAATAATAAATCAATCGTTAAGACGACTATATTTTTTAAAAGAGGTAACACTATTTAGGTTTGTATTCGGTTATCGTTGGTAAGCAGCAGGAGAGTATGAATTACCCATTTGTTTTTAAGAATACCCCGTCACACGTTCACTGCTGAAATTAAGTACAAATAGGCCAATTAGAAGCAACTTTAACGTAATCTACAGTTTCAAAATGCAGTTTGTATTTAATGTTTGTGTCAGTAAACAGTATACTCACAAGCAGCAGGCCAGCACACGCGAACAACACCAGACCGCTGCTTCTCATCCCGGCTTTGTTTTTAATACTTTTTTATAATTATATTATTAATAAACGGTAAATACAATTTCAATATTATTTCTGACAATAAAAGTCACGCCACAAATTTGAAAGTATTTTGAAAATCGATTGCCTTAAGAAACTTTTTTAATTTTATACCAAAAAGTTACAAAAGAGTACGTATTGTAGTCCTTGAACTCGTGTCACGATAGTTTAGTAATGGTTTTGGAATTGGAAAACAAGATTGGGGGTAATAGGGTAGAAGAATTTTAATAATTGTGATGTCACCGTACCGTGATTCCACCATTAGGAAGTACGGTCTTCTCACAGGATACCGGCATAAAATAGACTTTATATTATTGCAATGAAATCGGATATCTATTGAAGAAATTTAGTTTGGAGTATTTTGACAAAGGCGTGGTCTTTACTTCGTCTCCGCCTTTGCTCTCCTGAGTAAAAGGATGCGATACTTATTCTATACAATTTAACGATACAATTCGCCAATTATGATATCAATTCCATGTAATGCCCCATCGAAAATAGGAACAAGGATAACCCCTCCTCAGCAGTTTACTTTAAAACAAATTCATAATCAGAACAATTTAAATACAATAATTAATACGAATAAATGTAATAAAATATATTTATTTGTCACAAAAATGAGCTAAAAGTTTACAACAATAACATTAACAAAACGAATTTAAAATAAATAAATTATGACTTATTTCTGAGGCTTCACAGATCCATGTAACGACATGATATACCCAATTAATTCTAAAACGTGAAAGGATTGCTATTGTTGTTGTTATTTGCTTTCATACTAGTGCTACTAATAGTAATATTTCAATACTTATTTACTCGCTTACACAAACTATTCCTTAGTAACGATTTTGTTCCGAAAACTAATCCTAAGGATTGGACAGTAAGCAAATAACCATTTAATTACTGAGTATGGCGGTTAGGTCACAAGTAGGTTGACGCAAATAAGTTAAAAGTCAAGTCGAATGCATCTTTGATATTTCAAAAGACTTGTCTATACAAAAGAATCCCTTACAGAGTATTATAAAATTTCACAAAGATCAATTCATTTAACGTATCTGTTCCACTAGCTAGCACATACGACAACTATTAATAGATCTACATCGCTTCTAATATACAAAACAATGTAAGCCATGTCGAATATTGTATACACCAGGGCAAAAGCATGATCTTATCATTATGACGCAATAAATACCACTTAAGTGCCTGATCCCTGGCATATAAAATATAGTATAGAATGAGTGATGAATAAATCGAAATATCGATATACAAATCGTTATATCAATATCAAAATCAGAATCCATTCGGAATATCGACTAGTCTTCATGTCACAAACTCTTCGCCTTCCTATCTTTGAGTAAACTAGTGATGAAGAACTCTCCAGCTCTGTATGAGGATCTGACGAGAGGTCCACTGGCGGTGTACAGGAACCCGAGTTCATTGCCCCGGACTTCCCACTCCTTGAATTTAGCAGGAGTGACGTATTCAAAGACTTTTAGATGTCGTTTGGTTGGCTGCATGTATTGGCCTAATGTTAGACAGTCAACACCCGCCTCGCGAAGGTCTGGAAAAAAAATATGAATTACAGTGCGCTATGATAATCCTTCAAACCGTTAAACTGCGATGTCCATCTCCCTGACAAACGTGGAGTTTATAGGAAACCCTGGATTATAGAAAATGGTCCATATTCGTACATTCATAGTCCAGCAGTGACTGTTCCAGGTCGTGTTGTTCAACACGACACGATATCTCAGGGTTAAGTAAGGCTTATTTTTTTAATGTATTTATGTCACTTCAAGCAGGCAAACATAAAGGTTTACTAAACATATATTAATAGATTACGTATATAAATGCTATGTTACCTTTCATAGTCTGTTCGACTTGCTCGTCAGTCTCGCCAAGTCCCAACATAATTGAAGACTTGGTTATTAGGTCCGGGTTCACTTCCTTGGCCGTCTGTAGTACTTTTAGAGTCTGACGATATCTGAAGAGAGACATCATTGTTTTTATTAGAAAGGAACTAAGTCACCAAAAAGTTACTAATAAATTAAATCAATTCTTAATTAAACTATACATATACCGATCTGACTAATTTCGAGCCTTAACGGAGCTCTTAACTATTTTAATACGTGCACGTAAAGGTACCGAGCAACCATTAAATACACGTGTATAAGTCGTATAAACATTGGGAGAGAGTCTTCATGAGGAGAAGTCCCTCTGTGACTCGAAACGAGTAGTTTTTCTCAGTATATTGACGTGAGTAAACCGTTATTATATAAATATTACTTAACTCAATGTATCTCATGATTAACGTAAAATATAGCGTAAAAGTTATTTTGAGAAAGTTACCCAGCTCTAGGATCCCTGACGAAGGGAGTGAGTCGCTCGACTGTCTCTATGTTGTGTGCGAACACGTCTAGCCCGCACTCCGCTATGGTCTGGATACAATCCCGGTTACCTCTGAAGTCTGGCACTAGACATTCCACCAGGATGTCTTTGTTCCTGAGAACGAATATTACACAGATTATTTGTTATTCTTTGTTAGGTGTTATATAGCCATTAATAAGTTTTTTATGGGTGCAAATGTGCAGACGGAACATCTAATAGTTAGTAATCGACACCACTCATGGACATCCGCAACAACAGCGGTTGGGGTTGCCAGCCAGCCAGCCTAACTAATGCGTTAATCTCATTCACATAATGGAACAAACCGCAAGCGTTGCTTCGCGTCGGTTTTCTGTGCGGCCGTGGTATCACTCCTGTCAAGCCGGCTTATTAAGGCTATATACGGATAGAGGGAGAGTGAATATTTCTAGAATATAATTACGGTGATCCAATACGTCGAGGGAATGTAGATGTAAATATAAAGAAGGGTACTTACTGTCGTTTGATTTCTCTAACAGTTTCGGCGAAATGAGCGGATCCACCGTCGGGCAAGTCTGTAAAAGAATGGTTAGTTTATGATAAAATTACCTATCTTGTATATTATCTTTGGTCTTTGTAGTGTCGTATAATCGTGGCAAAGAGAGTACAAAGTGAAATTAGAACAGTTTGATAAAACATCTTATGTAATTCTTTCTCGTCATTGTGTCTTGTTTTAGACCGTTTAGTAGTGTCTATTTGTTTTCAATGAAACAATATGTAAACAGTGATATAATCTCATAATATTGTTGATTTGCCTTAATAAAATAAAATAAAATAAATATTAGTAGGGTTGTATGTTACCATCTCTATCGACAGATGTGAGCACGATGTACCCGAGTCCCCACTGGTTGATGGCGTGCGCGGTGTTGTATGGCTCGCGCGCGTCCAGCGGCGGCGGCCGCCGGGACGTCTTCACCGAGCAGAACATGCAGCCTCGAGTACACGTGTCACCCATCAACTGGACATACAAGTACTCACAGTGTAATCACTACTGCGAACCGTACTAAATTCATTGAAAATACTTACGGTTTACTAATCAATATATCACTACATAGTATAAAACAAAGTCGCTATCCACCGTCTGTCTGTCACTCCCTATGTATGCTTAGATCTTTAAAACTGCACAACGGATTTTGATGCGGTTTCTTTTAATAGATAGTGTGATTATTAAGGAAGGTTTATATGTATAATAAATACATGCATATTGCACCCGTGTCAAGCCGGGGCGAGTCGCTAGTCGTTAAAACAAAGCTTACTACTGATTGTATACCTACTTAGATTTTTAAAGCTACAACATAGTTTTGATAAGATTAGAAGACTAGCACAAGCTGTACCCGAATAGTTCATGTCAGTAAACCGTAATTTTGAATTATATTCTGTTACAGTGATGTAACATTTCCTTTATATTTGATACAGTAGGATTTTCTAGGCTACAAAGTAGATTGAGAAAAAGATTTATATTGCTATTCCAATCCTTATGTGTACTATATTAAGGTCCATACCATTATAGTAGCTGTAGATGTGCCATGTTTGCCCCCACTCCCCGATGTTAGGGCAGCGCGCCTCCTCACACACTGTGCTCAGTTTCAACTCACGAAGCTGCTTCTTGATTCCCGTGAACTTTGACCCTGGAAATATAGATTTATTTTATAGACCTCACCTATCAATGCATTTTAATAAGGACCTGAAATAAAAACTGTTAACATAGTTCTCATGTGTCTAAGAAACTTAATGGAAACCACAAAAAGTGTAAATAAAATTATGATAAGTTAAATAGTGTGATTCAAATGTTACTACTAGATTTTAGCTACGTACACTAAACATGGCTGAACATTGATAACAAAGTGTGATAAGAGTGCGTCCATTCATTCATTATATTCTTAAGATTACAGAAAGCCGGTTGTTTGTGTTGAATATTACTATGTTGACGATTGATAGACAGATCTGTCTGTGAAACTTAACTTTAATCAATTATCTATATCAATATAAATAGATCACCAAAAAGTACATGTGCCCGTAACTGTTGAATGAGTGCATGAAATTGGATAATTATTTTTTTTGCATGTTTGTTATGGATGGTGTTTGGACAAAGATTATACAAAGAAACATTCATTGAGAACACCGGGAAATAGCACCCAGGCATACTTCATATAAACTGGTCTTGTTATTTCAAATGCATAAGCCTATATATAATTATTTATTTATTTATTTATTTATTTCTTCTTCACAAAATAAGGTGAATGGCGGACTTGATGCCTTAAGGCATTCTCTTACAGTCAACCATAGGGAAGTGCAGAGAAATGAAGTGGTTGATGCGAAGACAGACAACAATAAAAAAAAGGTTATGTAATATGTATACTACACACATAAATACCTATAGAATAAATATATTAATACAATATTTTATAAATAGACATATACATACCATATAATATATACTACTAAACAAATACTTACACTGCATAAATACTACAATATATTATATAAAAAAAAAGAGAACGTTGTTAGAATAGTTTCCTCAATTGTTTTGAGTCTGCCAATGCTTAAGTAGTTGCTCACGGACTTTAAATTTAAAGGTATTGCGACTTGTTGCCATTCTGATCTCCTTGGGCAACGCATTCAACAAAATAACAGCTTGAATGAAAAAGGAAGAATGAAAGAAGTCAGTGCGATGAGAGATACATTGAAGATGTCGGTTTTGAGACGAACGAAGAAATTTTGTGTAGTTTGCGCACGTATATTGGAAGTAAGAAGCAAGGTAAGTAGGTGAAGAAGGAGAGTCAAGATAAGAGAATAAAGTGGTTAATGCCCTCTGCTGCCTGCGCAAGCGTATGGGCAGCCACTTCAGTTGCATCCTATGTGCAGAAATATGATCATATTTACGTAAGTTGAAAACGAATCGAATGCAGTTATTTAGAAGTCGGTCTAACTTATTGAGTAGATCTGCATTCAGGTCGTAATAACAGACATCAGCGTAATCAATAATCGGGAAAATCAAGGTCTGCACAAGCTGCGTCTTCACAGAGGACGGAAGAAAGTTCCTCAGACGATACAGAGCCCGCAACGATCCAGTCACCCTTTGGCAAACACTTGTGACCTGAGCACGCCAGCTCAATGTACTATCAATAATCAGGCCCAGATCCTTCACGTCCCGACTGAACGGAACAGTCACACCATTATACGAGATAGGGGGCAGTGCTGCACCGTCAATCGATCCAAGATTCCGAGAGCTACCTATGATGATGGCCTGGCACTTGTTTGGGTTTACAGCTATGCCAAACCTCTCTGACCAATTTTGAACAGCTGTTAGATCACTATTAAGTTTACTGATAGCACTGGGCAGATCGTCCACCACAGACTGACGGTACAGCTGCAAGTCGTCCGCATACAAATGGTACGCACACTGAAGTTCAGGAGTGATAAGGTTGATAAAAATAGAGAAAAGAAGTGGAGAAAGGATGCCGCCCTGAGGAACGCCTGCCGTCAAGTCACACTAGTCAGAGAACTTCTCATCATACTGGACAGACTGCTGACGCTCCCGAAGGTATGAAGAGAACCATTCCAGTGATTTGCCAGAGATCGCAAGATGGGATAGGATTGCCAAAAGGATATCGTGACTGACTATATTAAACGCGTTAGAAAAATCAACCAATACCAAAAGTGTTACTTTGGTATCCTCCATACCAGCCCTAACATCGCCAGTCACTTTAAGGAGGGAAGTTATAGTGCTGTGGCCAGGTCGAAACCCAGATTGCAACGGGCTTATTAAGCTATGATTATAAACAAAGTGAGATAATTGTTTATGGACACAGGCCTCCAGCACCTTAGATAGGAAGGGAAGGATTGAGATAGGACGGAAGTGGGTCGGCAGAGTGGGAGTACTAACCTTAGGTAAGGGTAGAACAAAAGCTTTACGCCAAACTGCTGGAAATACACCGGAGAACATGGAGAAGTTTATAATATGAGTAATCGGTGACAGCACGTGGTCTAGGATATATGTGATCATATCTCGGGATAAGGAGTCACAACCCACAGCTTTTGATTTAATGGAAAGGATAATCTTACGAATCTCCGTCGCATCAACTGGAATGAAACAGAAATTGTTTATGTTGGGACGCGTCAGACCACTGATAAAAGACAAGTGTTTAGTCTGGTAAGATGATCTAGAGTAGGAACAGTGGAGAAATGTTGGTTAAGGTCATCTAAACCAATTGTTATAGACAGGTCTGAATTTTGAGGTTTACCAATACCAAGAGTCCGGAAAAATTTCCAGATATTGGCAGGAGATGAACAAGAAATATTATTGAGAATATGACGGCGCTTAGCGTTACGAATTATAAGATGATATTAATAAGACTATGCAATTTGCCCACCCTTTACATTCCATTTAAGAAAAATACTCAACAAGTAAATGGTTAATTGATATATAACAACAATAATGAACAGAAAGAGAAGATACCAGTAGGTATAGTGGTTTTCAACCAGGGCGGCAACCTCAATCTTTCCGCTTCTCCTTTTTCTCTCTTCAATTTGCCTTCATAATCCTCCCAGTCTTTAGGACGGTCTTCAGACACAAAATCAGCAAAACTGGGGCCTTCTCGCAACTTCTCTCGAATAGCATCGAGCTTACTCGTGTGTTTGCACCTCTGAAACTAAAGTATTTAGAAATAATTACATCTGTAGTTAGGGCTGAAAATAAAATTACTTTCACTGTAATACTTGATCCTAGAGCCTTCTTAAATGGTATGCTCCATATAAAAGTATATAATTCTTTTGTTAGATTTAAAATATGTGTTATCAGCTGACCATTGTAACCTTTACATAAACCAACAACTCAACAAGTAACTTACGTCATGATTTCTGCAAATAAGTGTTCTTAATCTATTGCGAAACATTTTAACTGGAACATGAAGCTAATAATCTATCAATTTGGAAACCCTTTACCAAGTAATGTCCCTAGAAATTATATTTTCAACTATTTTTCACAAGCACAACAAAACATTTCTTGGCAATTTGTCCCACACACTGACAATTGACTGACACTTGACATGACATTGACACTGATATTTTCAGTTATATTCATTGACCTTATTGATGTACATTTACTACATTAAATAATTTATGAAAAGCTCTAATTTTAAACAAAAAAATTACAACGCGCTTAAGTTTACATTAAGCTGCTTTTCATTTAGCAATCATAACTGTTTTGAAAAAAAAAAATCCTTTTTCAAAGGTCCAGTCCTAGCTCCCAGTTCTTAGACAAGACAAGACTAAACCCAACCATATTGGTGCACTTTGGTTTGGGCGCACATGTGTGGCGCAGGCATAATGGTGACCCGAGTGACCCTATCCCATGATAACTAATTCTAATATTTAAAAATATCTGTTCTATTTAGGACCTAAGACCTAACCGTGATATATTTTATTCAATCTATCTCCTGGCCTGTTACAAAGATATGTATCATTTGGTTAAATACGAAATATTCAGCATGATCCGATGATCGTTCCGTTTCCTAAATATTGAGGAATGGTGGATTAAAAAATAGATTGGAATAGGTAAAGTTTTATAGAAATGCATAAACGATGTACTTTTTGCAATATATACCAATATATTTTGCTATAAAAAGATCCCAAAAAAGTGTACAGCTTCCAAAAATTATTTCTTTATTTTTCATTTATATTCCAAATCAAGATAGTAATAATTGGGTTCCTAACCATTATGTACAGTAGTTTTTCAACAGATGGTGCTGTTGTTAGTGCTTATAATAACTGTCGTCTCGCATTGGAATAAAATACGTTCTGTGTATGAATATTTTGTACAATACCTAATCCTCAACGCTTTTGATTAGTAGGTACGTATTCAAATCGAAAAATACCTAATACACATACCTACCTGTTCTTTGCCCCTACTACTCTACTTACTAAGTACTTCACTGGACGGTTAGGGAAGGGAGGGAGTAGGGCCGCCATCCGCCATCACGTTTCACGTCACACCGCACTCACAACACTGACTGGTGCGCGAAATTATTAAAAGTTACTGAGTATCTATTGTTTTTGATAATAACTTCACCTCTCGTGTTTTCTATTTTTGCCAGATTTTGCTCAAAGTACCTAGGTAAGTAATTTGTGGGTATTCTAAAGTATTGTTTGAATTGTTTTGTTTTTGTTGTTTATTTTGATTAGATTTGTATGAAATCAGAGTTCGGGATACTGAATTAAATATTTTCCGTTTTTGTGTAAATTAAATTATGATGATGCTTAGCAGCTAATATAATAAAATCACTGTCAGAATTAAATAGAATTGTGTACAACGATTTAAACTGTCAAACACCGCAAGGACACCGGTGTCCGCACACCATTGTTCTATTGTTCTATTGTGTCTTTAATGACGGTACATACTCAAAGAGTTAAAGAACAATAGGTTGCGGTCACCGGTGTCCTCGCGGTGTTTGAGTTTAATGTTTCCTTTAACTCAAAATAACTTTTTTATTACTGGCTCAAATTAAATTTTCCTACATACATACATCTTTATTTGATACAAATGGTTTCAAGAAAATTCCTTACAAGGTAAATAAATGCCTGAAAAAATTCCCCTTCTATATTTTATTATTAAAACAAACTTGAACATATGCCATTATGAAACTAAGCTTTATGTCTATTCTGTTTGTACACTTTATTTTAAAAAGTTCTTTAGTAATTATTCTATTCATATAAATAATTTTATTTTGTAAAAATAAGGGTTACATACTACTTTGCCATGGCGAAATGGCAGACAACATTGAAACCCAGTTATTATAAAAACCCAAGTTTTTGAAATCAGGTTTTTAAAATAGCTGGTCCCAATGTTGTACTTTGTTCCCATAAAATGTTGGTGCAGCAGTGTAGTAACCCTTACTTTTACATAATTACTATTTTTTATGACATACTGATACTTTACATAGCATACTGATAGAAAAGGTAAAACACCACACCTTTTACCCCCGAAGGGGTAGGCACTTGCTGTCACTGTACAAAGTAGCACCTACTTTCCCTATTTATGTTATGAGGCCCATGTTATAGGGGGTAAGCCAATTGCCATAAATCAGACACAATTCCTTAAAAAAAAATCCTTTCAACTACGTTTAAAGACTAAATAGTACCTATTTAGAAATGGAAATAATAACACATTAACTAATGTATATAAGTAAACAAATAAATTGTGACTATTAATTTATTGACTTTTTAGTATGTTACAATTTGACTACTGATACATAATGACATCTTAATTTTATGACATTTCTAATTTATTTTCTGACTTTACCTGTTTTAATGTATTTGAATTGCTTCCGATAATAATAATAATAATTTCAATATAATTGTTCTTTAATGCGACATAAATTAATATTGTTAATACAATTTTATATTTCTACACCGGTAACGGTGGTATGTGTGGAACTCTGTTAATTTTAAGATCTGTGTGCACCATGTACTGAGAAATAAAGGACATTCACATTCATTCAATAAAATAAACTTTAGAAGCCTTTAAATAATTTTCTTAAAATCGTTTGCATCAGAAAAGATCTCTTCGTTTGGATTTAACTCGTCGAGTACCGGTTTTATAGACACAATTAAAGAACAATAGGTCGCGGTCACCGGTGACCGCTTGGTGTTTGACAGATTAACAGACTTTGGAGAATACAACAATGTTTATTTTGTACCACTAGATCAACAAACAAAAAAGCTATTTTGATTAAAGGAATCATTATGGGTATATTTTACATTTCAATAAAAAAAATCATACACATACCGTGACATTTGGGATGCAGGATTTAAGGTAGCGAATGACCTCCCAAATCCCTAAAATAATTGTGTCAGTCCTTTAATTGGACGGTCGAACAAATAAGAAAAATAATTCTCACTAGTTCCTCGGTCGAAGTAATGAATCAAAAATCTATTGAAATGCGTAAGTGTATACCTACTGTGTTTTTATAATATGTATAATATGTATACCTACTACCTATAAACCGTCTCATTATGTGTTTTTGTCCTTTTCTTTTCTAGTATGTCTAACTGGCGCGGAAACGAACACAATCCTGCGGATTTCCTCGAACTTTTGTATGAAGAGGAAGATCGGGAAGTTGAAGTGAACAGTGGTGATGAACATGATGTGTTCATTGATGACGAGGTTTGTAATGTTATAATAATAATACTTGGTGAACTATTTTTTCCTATCAAAATGCAAAAAAATGATAATATATTTCTTTATACATTTTAGAACGAATTCTCGTATCGGCGTTCATCGCCGGAGGACATGGGGAGCTTTCCAGGAGAGGTATTGTTTTGTGGTTTTCGGTTAGTTACTAGTTATGTGTGGCGATGTATTTACAGGTTTGTTTTGTATATTTAGGATGAACCATGGGAGAGTTCACCGGAGCGGGCACCTTCACCAAAAGCTTCCTTCTACTCTCCTCTCTCGTACCCGCAGCCAGCAACCAGGCGGCCACCACGAACGGTAATACTGTTTTCTCTGTATTTATTACATATGGATTTCAATGCATTGGTTTTAACATTGGAATATTTTAGGGCTCGTCGCCACGCGCTACGGCGTCCCGCGAAAGGTCACGATCCCCAATATTTATGAATCCGCCGTCGCAATCGTAAGTGTTATTTATCTGATACTCATATTCTGTAATTGATGTAAATCTTACTTCATATTTTTAAATTATAAATACGAAACTGAGTTTGTCTGTTAGTGTTTGTTACTCAATCACCTCAAAACGGGTGAAGGAATTAAGTTAAAATTTGAAACAGGGGTAGGTTATGGTCTGGAAATCTGGAATAACATTGACTGCATGGTTGGTGGGGTGGCTGCGCTACCGACCGCCGCGCAACGAGTAGCGGGTTCGATTTCAGCACGGAGCCATTCTTTTTCTGATCCGCAAATTGTTGTTTTTGGTCTGGGTGTCATGTGTATGTCATCATCGTCATCATCATCATAATCATCAACAGTCTATAAATACCCACTGCTGAGCAAAGCCTCTTCTCAGACGGAGAAGGATTGAGCGTTAATCACCACGCTTGCTCAATGCGGGTTGGCGATTACAGACCTATTCTAATTAGACATTATAAGCCCAGGTTTCCTCACGATGTTTTCCTTCACCGTTTGTCAGTGGTGTCTAGATAATCTTAGAAAGTACATATAACTCGGAAAAAGTCACATTGGTACTTGCCGTTGGTAGGTTTCCTTACCCGCACTCTCATACATGAGAAGCGGGCCTCTTAAACCTCCGGGCCACTATGACACATTCATGTGTATGTGAACTTGTATATTTACTTGTATAAACTCATCCACGATATAGGAGAAAATCATAGTGTTGGACAAAGAAAAAAAAAACATAGGTTAGTTTTTACCCCACGAGAACGCGGGCGAAGCCGCGGGCTGAAGCTAGTATGAAATAAATATACTTAGTAAAAATATAATATTATTACAACATACACAGCGTACCTGAGCTGCTACCGGTGATTCGGATTTCTGGGAAGAGTGACCATCCGTTAGATGCTGGAACTACCAACGAGGTGGAAGATGGCGCCATGGCTACTTATTTGTCCCCGGATGCCCACGCTCTGTATGTGTCCCTAGAGGAGTGTGAAATGCATGATAGTGAAAGAAATGCAAGAAAATCTAGTGAAGGAAAGAGTGGGCGAGGAGGTAGACGAAGGGGTGTACGACGACAGAATGTAGGTGGGCATGGGCATCCGAACCAGGGTCGCAGGGGGAACAATCAGTGGGAAGTGGGACACCCACTGAATGAAATCTGGACGAATGATGAAGATGTTCCCCCTGAACTAGTAAGTTTGGAGATGGATGTATTAAAAAGACGACAGTTGATAATGCAAGCTGCTGCCAAAACCAAGA